AGGCAGATCAGTCACAATCTTTCAGTCAGTACAAAACAGCTAAGAAACATGCTATTGGCGACCTATGATTTGATCATGTGACACCGACCCTGAACGAGCTTCACTGGCTGACAATAAATAAAAGGATAGTCTTCAAAACTGCAGTTCTCTGAATGGTATGTCACCAGAATATATGACGAGTCGCCCCAAAACAAGCCACATCGACTTTTCATCTCAGGTCGGATGATTTGAATTTGCTGTCTGGGCCAGTTACACGTTTGCAGATTGGTTGAACAGACATTGCAGTTGCAGTTGCAATGCAGTTTTCCAACAGCGTTCAGAAGATCTGGACTTTCGTTGGAATTAATTAAGAAAGATTTTAAAACACTTTTGTTGCCTGTTAAACTGTGGGAATTGCGACCTTTTAAATTTTTGTTTTTCATATATAGCCACGTACATTTTGCTTTTTAATGTGACAGTTTTAATTAGCGATAACAAATTACTGTTAATAATAACAATATTAACAACAACAACAACAACAACAATAATAATAATAATAATAACAGTAGTAGTAGTAGTACTAAAGATGATGATGACGACGACGATGATGATAATAAAATATAATTGAATTGTGTAATATTAATTGTTTGTGTAAAAATTTTATCTAAAAATGAGCCAGCTGTTATTAAGTGAGTGAGAGTGAGTGAGAGAGTGAGTGAGTGAGTGAGTGATATGATAAATAACATGAAATGATATGATTATGCTTGTGATGACGACGAAGATGATGACGATTAATAACAAACATTTTTTGTTTTCAATTCCCATGCTAATGAGAAATGATTGATAACAAAATAAACAATAGCTAAAAAAAACTTTACATATATACAAATACATACAAACGAGCAAACAAACATACAAACGAACAAACAAACAAACATACAAACGAACAAACATAAAAACATACATACACACAAACATGCATTCACGTTAAAGGAACAATCACAGAGAAACAAAGTTAATTATGTACATATACAATTGTTATTATTCATATTGATTTTCGTCCGGGCGTTTACTGTAGAAAATGATCACATCGGTAAATAAAAAAGATAAAAACATTAAAACAATATAACTATTCTCCTTCTTCTTATTACTACTATTATTATTAATTATTAATTATTATTATAAAAAGAAAAAATTAAAACAAAGAAGAAAAAAAAGCGAGGCAAATGACCAAGAATTCATCGATTGTGACAAGAGATGAAAATGACATTAACGGAAGCGACAGCCTAATCAATAAAAAAAAACATCAACAATAACAACGACAACAACAACGACAATAAGAACAGCAGCAGCAGCAACTACAACGACATCAACAATTTTTTTTCAAAATCCTCAGTAAACAATCCCTTCAACTGCTAGGCATACAAACCATCCTTCAACGTTTTTTTTCTCCAAAAAAAAAAAATTTCAACAAATTCTTTTCATTAAAAAATCATTAAACAAATTGCTCAACCAACAAAAAATTGTTTTCTTTTCTAGAATACAAACGTCTCTGTATCCAAAGCAAAGATAAATAACGAAAAACTAAAAAAATTAAAATACACAAAAAAACAACACAAATGAAAGAGAACAAAAGAAAAAAGTCGTAAATAATAAAAATTTAAAGAAAAAATATACAAACTGCATACAATACGATACAAGACAAAACAATACAAAGCAATACAATGCAATGCCATACAATGCAATACACCAACAAACCAAACAAATAAAAACTAGTTTGCCGTTAAAAAAACAACAACCACAATAGACAAAAACAAAAAAAATCAACATTGAGAAAAACAAAACATAAAGAACGGAAAAACGGGGGGTAAATAAAAAACATAGAGAGAAGAAAGAGAGAAAAAGAGATATAAAAACAAAAAGAGAGAAAGAGGGAGAGAAAGAGAGAGAGAAAGGAGGAGGCACATAAAAAACCCGATCTAATAAATAAAAAAAAAAAAAAGTATAAACAAAGACTAAGCAAGACTAAACAATAGTCGGCAGTACCATAGCGGTAGAGAGGGTAGGTGTAAATCACTTTATACAAACAGTTGAACCAAACTACGGGTCTCATAAACATGTACCAAACATAAACAACACCCACTTGTTTTGTATTTACGTATGTATGCTGTTTGTATTGTATGTGTTTGTATGTGTGTGTCCGTATATGTGTATGTTTATGTGTTGTTGAGTGTCCCCACCCCTATTGTATTCTACGTGATGTGTTATGCGTTTATTGCTTGTGTCTAAAAAAATACATAGTTGACATTTAAGTTCTTTTTTAGCTAGATTTTCTTCTCTCCTCTCTCTATCTCTTTTTCTCTCACTCCCTCTTTCTCTTCTCTCTCTCCATATTCTACGTAATTCATTTCCCTAATTTTTTTCTTCCATTTTTCCTTCTACAGACCACAATTTTTGAGAAACGAATTAGAAGAAAAAATAAAACGAAGGTCTAGATCTATATTTCTTTCTCAGTCCCATCAGTCAACATCCTTATACACTCATCAGCCTCATCACCTTCCTCTACATCACTAGCATCATCACCATCATCATCTTTATCACTACTACTATCACCTCCACCATAGGAGCACATAAAACTGAATAATTTATCACAAAAATTAAAAATAGATATGCCGAACAAGAAGAATAGGCTATCGCGAGGTGGTCGAAATATAGAAAAACAAAAATTGAGAAATTAAGAAGAAAAAATTAGAAAAAAACTTGCACGCACACTACACAAACACACCCCACTCAAAAACAAATATACAAACACACAGATACACACGTACAGATATTTTTTTACACATACATGCACCATGCACACACACACACAACACCACACATGCACACATGCATACAAGCAGACGTACACACACGTGCACATATAAGCGCAGTTGTTCATTCATTATGCAAATGTTTTCCATGATCAAATGTCAGAGAACCAAATGATTGAAAAGTTATCACATACAACCAGCACGCACGCACGCACGCACACAAACATACAAACAAACACACACACAAACACACACAGCGCTTATAGAAAAATAGATATTTTTCATAATTACAGAGGATTACACTGAATTACATTGACCAATAAAATGCTGCTACTACTACTGCTGCTGCTACTGCTGCTATTACTACCAATAATAATGCGCTGCTAATGCTAATACTATTACTAACAAACCAAAACTACACTTTTTATAAAAATTCAGGTTTAAAAAGGGAGAACGTGACATACATGACACAGCTTACAACAGAGCACATAACAAACAACAACAACAACTACTACAATAACAACAAGAAAAACAACAACAATAATAAGAACCATTGAGTTTCAATTTTTAACCCTTCATAGACAAACATACCACAAATAGTTGAGCACACACACACACACATCACACGCACAACTATACACGCACACACCCACACATACGAACAGAAAAAAGAAACAGAGAGAGAGAGAGAGAGAGAGAATGGAATAGGGAGATCATATAAAAAAGAAAGAATGAGAAAGAAAAAAGAGAATGAGAAAAGAGAAAAAAAAAGAGAGAGAGAGACAAATAACATTCATATTATTTTAATTAATTAAACATAACTCGGCCTGTGAGTGTAATTAAAAATTCCAAGTGTAAACTATGGACTAGTGGTAATAATAAAAGTAATAATAGCAAAAATAAAAATAATTATCATAATTGTAATTGTTTATTATTATTATTATTATTATTATTATTATTATTACCATTTTTTTCTAATTCTACCTGAAAAAATTTCATAAAAACTGAACTTTTCATACACAACAGAAACCGTAATGTTAACGCTAGTACTGCCATTACTGATGTTTTTATTTTTATTATTATTCTTATTATTATCGATGTTATTATTGTTATTGTTATTACTGTTGTTGTTACATTCAAGCGTATAAACCCACGATTAACAGACGTTCTTTGTCCAGTTTTAAATATAATTCATCATGCACCTAATTTTCTTATTATTGCGACTATTATTATAAGTATCACAAATAAAACTATTGTTATTATTGTTAACGCTATTATTATTATTATTGTTATTATTAATATTTGCTAATGTTGTTGTTATTATTATTATTGAATTAAATACAATTTAAAGTGTATTAGAACTCATCAACATCGTTATATTCATTCAATCAATCAACTAAAATTCATTTCTGCTGCTTATATAACAACTTTGGTATCAATTTGAAAGCTAAATTCTTTCTTTCGTTCGTTCGTTCGTTCGTTCACTCAATCATTCGTTCATTCGTTCATTCGTTTACTCGTGTGTTTACTCACTCACTCGTTCACTCACTTACTCTTTCAATAACTCATTCATAAACCATCCTATATACATTACATGCATAGATATTAAATACATATATACAATACAAGTACCCATTTACATTGCATGTATGTAATGTAAGTGTATATTACAATCGTCATCACCATCACAATATGGATGATGACGACGACGACGACGATGATGATGACGACGAACATGATGAGGGTGATTTTGTTGTATAGACAGACCACACTCTTTCTTAGAAGCCTGATGTTAACAGTTACACACACACACACACACACACACACACACACACACACACACACACACACACACACACACACACACACACACACACAAACACACAAACACGCACAAAAACACACACACACAAACACAGAC